AAACAACAAAATGTTATGTATTGTGTTAGGATTTAAAGATCTGTGACCACGACAGTCACCTTCAGGAAAAATTAACTTAATACTCTTTGTCACCTTCACTCCCCCTACCCATGGAGCTTGAAAAAGCAATCAATCGTTTTATTCCTCGAGTAATATGAAATGGCCCACTCTTCGAATGCTCTGAAATACCCTATAAGTTTCTTCGATATGTTTTTATTCTATGATCATTTCCGATGAAGTTTGGAGGGTTCAATAGGGGGGGTCATCAGGGAATCAGTAGGGTGGTTGGGTGGGAGGGTCTAATTTGTCAATGCGAAGTTAATGATTTTGACGAATTTTCGCCATTTTCGTTATTGCATACATTTCTCTGCACATATCTTTATTAGTAAATCGTTGGAGGTTTTTAAAAATTAAGTTTACTTTTTCAGAGAAAGACTGAATAGGTGTAAACATAATTTAAATAAGGGATTTTAACTGGTAATAAACGTCAGCTGTCAAAGGTACTAACATCGTCAACCGTCATTAGCCCCAAGATTTAAACCTCAAGAGTCAAAATCGGGAAAAAAATCAACTTTACTTTGAAAAGTCTTGTAACTCTAAATTACCTCCTTATACAAGAAATTATCCAGTTTCCATCAAAGTGGATTTGGAATATTGATTGATAACAAACCAACAAAGTACATGTCATTATTAAATATATTTATGCATATCGCTGCCAATGTTTTGTTTCACTAAAGCCCTTGCAATAAAGTGTTGAGCAAAATTTCTAAATCTGCTGATTTATGAAAGTATTCTATTGAATTAGCCATATAGTTTTCGGCGATAATATTTACTTAGGTGTTACTTAGGTAAAAAATATATTTCGTTTTAATTCTATGCAATTTCTCCTTTCGATTATCTAAATTTCAAAGATGAAGTGCATTCGGAGGGAGAGATGAAAAGCAACGCATTACATCACCTTTTCTAAACATGAGACATAACGTAATCCTAAATGAGTAATCTGACCATTTATCCTTTATTTTGAAACTTTTACAGGAAATATTTAATGAGTAATTGCGCAATATTTATATTTGAAACCAGTATATCTGTATATTGTTTCATTGAAAATGTTAATATACAGAGAAGAAACGACTGACATTTTTTGCAAACAAAATACATAATCGAGGCTCGCGCGTTTTCCGATCCACGTAAAGGATTTCCTAA